TAGTTCATCTCTTACACTCCATGCTGCGCAGGGAGCAAATATAATACAGCAAGCGCTATTGAAGCCAGCATCTCATGGGTACAGTTTTTCCCACACGTCGAGAAGCTGTAGTTGCTGGACGGCCGTTCTGAGTGACGGACTTGTGTTCGGGCTGGACGAGTCGCTTGGGCGAAGCGCGCAATTGAAATCGCCCACTAGAATTACGTGCTCGGTGCGGTTGTGGAGATAGTAGGCAAGAGTTTCGTAAAAAAATCTTCCCGAGCAGCACGATGTGCAGTGCCCGACGGGGCATAGATGTTGACAAGAGTGACATCTTGCACTCGTAAAGCGATCAACCGACCGTCCAAGCTTTTCTCGACGTGAGAATACTGGATGTGCGACTTCAGTGCGATCGCCGTCGTCCTCCTTGCGTGATCCACATTTGCGACAACGACAAAGCCTGGCAAAGAAAGCTGCTCGTTCTCCACCTCTTGCAGGCACACAATGTCAAGGTTTTGGCTGTTGACGAAGGCTCGCAAAGCGTTAAGCTTCGTAGGGCTCGTGATGGTGTTGATGTTAATGGTAGCGACGTTGTAGGATGTGAGAGACATTATGGAATGTATTACTCAACCATCTCGTCGTCTTCTTCATCACGGCGGGGTTTTTTGAGGATCGGTCGCCCTCGACTTCGCCTGCTGCTCGTGGAAGTGTTTGATTCGTCTGTCTCATTGCCGTTCGATTTACTGCGTGGAGGTACACCACCAGGCTTTTTGAACAGCTCCACCGAATCCGAACTGATATCGGTCACCTTGGTGAGCGTTCTCGACGATGCTGGAGGTTGTGGTTTTGTTGTGTGTTGGGGTCTCGCATTCTGGCATAGTACCAACAATCAATACGAAACTAACGATTTTAAATTGGCTCACTACTTGACTAGCCTATTGGTCCCAAGCAAACGATTAACGTACCCCATTCTAGTCGAAATTCTAGTACTACACTATGTTTGTTTTGATTCGCTATGAAAGTTTGACAGATAAAATGAGGGGTTATTGGTTTTTCCTATGTTTCGAGGGGTGAATCGATTAGCTTGGGACCGAAGAGAGTACCAGAGCTGAGCCAAAAAGTTGAGCACGTTATTTCGGGACCTTCTAGTCTTAGAGTTACCTCTATGATAGTACTACCATCTCTGTTGGCGTGGTGAGTTGGCCGGTGTGAGTTTTCTGCCGAACAGTTCGTTCTCACTTGTCGACGGTGGCAATTCGGGAAAAGTTTCCGACGTTACCGGTGGTGGCGCAGCAGGCTTCGGGCCAGCCGGTTTATTTCGTGGCGGCTTCTGTGGTCCCGTTTGCTTTGCCACATTAGCGTAGCTCTTCTGGACCAGCAGCTTTTTATTTTGTACACACGAAATACCCGAGTGTGTCAGCTCGTGGCAGTGACGGCAAGACTGCAGTTGATCCTTGTAGGCAATGAATGCCTTCACTCCGTCGATAGTGGCCCACGAATCGATATTTCGTTCTACCACCATGCGGATAGACCAGATTCCAAGCGGCACGCTACCGTACTCGTGACTTTCACCAAACATAAGCTCCCGGATTGAAAGCACTTCGCCATACCGACTGAGGAACTCGTCACACCTTCGGGAAGATCCCACACACGCACTTCGACATTTCCATCTTCCATGGTAATACGGAGGTTGTATTTTTTTTTCCACTGCATACCACTTCGTGCTTTTCGTCGTGTTCATCGACCACTTGTTGGGCCAAAGCTAGGTCAGCGACCTTGACAAACATGCATGATTCACCTCTATGGCACTGTAGTCTCTTCACATCTTCCCTCTTCAGCCCAAATACCGTACGGCAAAAAACGTAGGTTTTTTCGTACGATGGCTTCAGAGGGAGATTCGAAAAATCTATGCGACAGGTATTTTCTCGCCTCATCGCGGAAACACTGCACGCGACGTGGCACGGCGACACAAGGAAAATTGTAAAAAAATGCCTGACTCTCAGATAAGCGTAGTTGATAAAAAGTTTACACGTCTCAGAAGCTGAGCGATATTTGCTTGATTCTCACTTTGATTATTTTTAGAAAATCAGTACATTGCGCGCATTGAGTGATCAGATGGCAGCCATGGTTCTGTCAAAATTTTAGGACAATTGATCATAACAAAACATAGTTGCAACATGCCAAAGTTGGCTAGTTTGTATGAAAATCGGCCTATTGTGCAAATTTAAAGGCCACCACTGTACATCTGTGTATTTGCACGTCAAAAATGAAGAGACGTGCAATGAGCTTAACAAAAAAAAACCCAACCAAAAAATCACAACCGCCTTAAACCCAAAAGGCGTTCAAAAATAACCGTTTATAGATAATCATATTTTTTCAGCAGAATTCAAGTTGAACATTGCGTTAGGTCCTAAGTAACATTGACAGGTTCTCTTCGTCGACGTTCTCTTTGTATTCCCAAATTATCTTTTCTATTTGTTACTTGTTTTTTTTTTCTCTTTGTATCTTGTTCAAATTACACTTTTGAGCATTTTGAGTCTCCGTTCGAAACATCATTTAAAATTATCAATTTTGTTAAAAAAAAAAACATTGTTGGATTATCCAAATCATCTCGGATATCTGTTCTTAAAGTACTGCAAGGTATACGATGATTCGAGAAAGGGTAAACCTTCGTGAAGCCCCATAATATCATAGCTCAAGTAACAACTTTGATTTTATTCTAGGTTTTGAAGAGAGCCTATAAAGACTTGAATGGACTTGAAGACCACATTAAAATCGGAAATGTTGCTTGGGTTGTTTGGTATTAGGTTTTCCAAAATGCATGGAGTTCATATCTTTATTGTATTTTATTAAAGTCACTTTAACACTCATGGATCCTTCTTCGTGATTTATCCCGGTTAGATTTGAACACATGGTAATGTTGATTACCCCTAGGTTTGAGTTGGAGGATTTATCTCTAAGAGAATCAAGTACTTTGACTTTGGCGGAAGAGGTATGTATATGATATACAATTTATTGATTCCATGTAACATTACATGTTTGATAAAGGTTTAAATGATTCTTGAAGACCAAATTATGGCCTACAAGACTATGATAAAACGAAAATTGTTACATCCTGCATAATGCGTATTGTATAGAAGATTCGATTCCCACCTCAACCGGGACAATGGAATAGGAGCTATTATTTCTCAACATCAATAGAAACACAATTCAAAAGTTGTGTCACATTATCCCGAATGGTCACTTCCCCGAACTCCATTACCCCGAATGAGATCCTGCCTTTTTTTATTGCTGTTCATTCTTTTCACATTCGGGATTGAGGGTACAGGCGTTCGACATTCGGGGTAATGTAGCACAATCCAATTCAATTAAGCGTTTACCTGTATTATAGTGAATATTATATTTGATAACAAGTAGATTAACAATATATCACACCCTTCACCAAACATGCTAATATGTAGCTGTTGTATAGACTCCGAACATTAGTAGATTTTCTTCACTTGTAGCTATAGAACCCTTCACCACTTTTAGCGCCAAGCTTGTTTTCCGCTACCATCTTTTCCAATGTCGGACTTGGTTTCGAGGCTGGATCGTTCGGGAAGCGAGCATGACGTTCCTTCATTATACTCAAAGTAACGTCCAGTCCTACCATATCCATCAACTCAAACGGCCCGATCGGATGACCCAATCCTAACTTCAACGCCGTGTCAATGTCCCGTAGGTTGGCATCACCTCGTTCTAGCATCTGCAGCGCTTCCGAAGTCAGAGTGAACAATAGCCGATTAACGATAAATCCCGGTGTGTCCTTGCAAGTTATACAGGTTTTCCCCAACGCACGACCGAATGCCATCAAACGGGCGTGGGTTTCCTCAGACGTTTTATCGGTTTTTATCACTTCGATCAGCTTCATCACTGGGACCGGATTGAAGAAATGGAACCCACCGAAACGATCCTCCCGCTTCGTTACGGATCCAATCTCAACAATCGACAACGAAGATGTGTTGCTAGCAAAAATTACGTGCTCCGGGGCAATCTGTTGATGTTATAACACAAGTTTAAATCCTTTCATCATTTCAAAGTACCTACTCGGTCAAACTTACATCATCGATTCGTTTGAACAAATCTTGCTTTACTTTCATATTCTCCACAACAGCTTCTATCACTATATCCGTGCTGGACACAACCTCATCAAGATTAGTGTTATACGTTATCCTAGATAGCGCATCCGCTACGAAACCGTTAGCCGAGTCGGGATCGTCTTTGAACAACTTACGCGCAATGCGGGCAGCATTTCTTTCAATTCCTTCACGAGATTTAGTTAGCACCTCCTGGCTCAGATCAACCAGTGTGGCGTTGTGGCCGGTTGCAGCAGCCACCTACAAGGGTAAAAGTTTCATAACTTTTCAACAAAAATCGTCATCTTGAACATATCTACGTACCATCGCGATACCTGAGCCCATTGTACCGGCCCCAACAATCACCACGTTCTGTATTGGTGTCGACATTGTGGCAACAAGTTGTGCGTTTTCTGAATGCACTAGTATGGGTCAAAATTTTCCAGAGTATCTTCTGAATAGAGGCCAATTCAAAAAATATGTCTGAAAGACAACAAGACGAAATTCCTGAATTTTAGCGATAAGCTCAAATAAGCGATAGAGGCCGAAATTGAATCCCGAACCATTATTTAAAATTTTACATTGATTATAAAATCGGTTTTTAATTTTGAATTACAAATTTTAAAATTGTGCTTACAAAGAATATTACTTGTGGGTGCAGATATCTACATAAATTCTAGTACGAATTAGTTAGGATTTTTAATCTAAATTATTACAAATTTAAGTCAGGAATTTTGATAAATTTTGTATTTCGGTTCATGAACTTGGCAAACATTTGATTTTGGAAATTAAAATCTAAAACTACGTAGATACTTAAATTTGACACGTGATTTTTTACAGTTAAAGTTACTAGTGATTCTTACATTTTTTACAAGTAAAACATGTTGTGAATAAACTTTCATTCTATATAAATGCACTTTATTTCCCAACCACAAAAATCACCCAACATAAATCTACTTTTTGTAAGAGTAAAATCCTTCTCCAGACTTAACACCGAGTTTTCCCTCGGAAACAAGTTTCTGCAGCATTTGTGGGGGTTTGAACAACGGGTTCTCCGGGAACTTCTCGTGCCATCCATGCATGATGTTGTTGGTCGTGTCCAGTCCAACATAGTCGCTCAACTCGAACGGTCCCATCGGGTAACCAGCACCCAGCTTCATCGCCGTATCGATATCCCGGGCGGTGGCATCGCCGCGTTCCAGCAGACGAACTGCTTCCGCCATATACGGAACCAACAAACGATTCACCACGAATCCGGGCGTATCCTTACAGGTGATACAAGTCTTGCCCATGCGCTTTCCGAATTCCATCAACTGTTGGTACGTTTCTTCGGAAGTCTTTTCGGTACGAATGACCTCGAGCAGTCTCATCATCGGTACCGGATTGAAAAAGTGCAGCCCTCCGAAGCGATCCTCTCGCTTGGTCACTGAACCAATCTCACCGATCGAGAGCGACGACGTGTTACTAGCAAAAATGGTACTGGCCGGAGCTGCGGCATCGATCTTCCCGAACAACTCGTGCTTGATGTTCATTTTTTCGACGATCGCTTCAATGACTAGATCCGAAGAGGCTACGGAATCTTCAATCTTGGTAGATCCTTTGAGATTTTTCAGGGTTCCTTCGACAAAGGCGTTACCCTTGGCAGAATCATCCTTGAATTGCTTCTTTGCAACGCGTTCCAAGCTTTTCTTGATGCTTCCAATGGCTTTGTCCACCAGCTGGTCATTGACCTCTACGAGTGTTACATTGTGGCCGGTTGCAGCGGCGACCTGAACAATACAGTTAGTTAAATTTTAGTGAAACTAAATAATATTCGAAATATTCAAATTCATCAGTTTATCATCCATCCGGAAACCCCCCGGCAGCCGGCTGACAATCACAATGCTATCATCTTACAAACATGGACGTTGACCTTTGGACCTGCTCGGTGCCGAGGAGCTATGGATAGATATTTTCTTATAAACTGAAGCTTCCAAACTTACCTGAGCAATTCCGGAACCCATAAGACCACCACCGATCACAACCACGTTGTTGATTTTGGCCGCGGTGGCCATATTACGAACAAATACGCGCATCATCGACATTTTGTAGACGTTTACTTAAGCACTATGTTACAAGTAATTAACCTAATTATAGTCCTATGTTGCCTCACAATGAACGCTTAAATCAATAACCGGATTTGCTGTTGGATTGGATTGGATAAGGATGCTTAGCTTACACAGGATATAACGGAACAAAGTCTGGAGACGTCCGATTACAAACTGCACTGCTTGACAGACTGAAGTGGAACCGCGAATGAACACCACTCGATAATTAAAAGCTCCTATCGCTGACAGTCAGTATCAGTCAGATGAGACGTGGTCTCGTTTCGGAGCTTTCGAGATGATCGTGTTTACTTCGGAGTTCGGATGTCTGATAACTTGTATCTTCTGCTTCTACACGTTCAAGGGTAGGAATCATTATCATTGCTGTGATTATATTGCAACATAAAGTCACGATGGCAGAAATTCAGCTATCAGTCGCTTTCAGATAAGGAGGCAAAGGTACGGAAGAAAATAATGTTCAAGTACTTACAGCAGTTCCATGTCCGTGACAAATGCAAAATTCCGAATCACGAAAAGGTATAATTCAAAGCACTGTCCGGTATACACACGCGACTTTACTTTTCTCTGTCAACAAAACACAAACCAAATGTATACTGCCTGAAAACATAAGTAGACGGCAAACAAAATTAAACGTAAAACTTTTGCCCCCGTAGCCAGCGCACTTTTTATCGCGAAAAATGTATAACAGGTCTATACGAACGAACGAGGATCACCAAAACAAAACCAGCAAAACGAGAACGCTGAGCCGGAGCGTCGGGCGTATTGCTGTGCAAACGTGAGACAATGTAAATTCGCCATCTCTTTCGTTTTCCCACTGTTAGAATGGTTGACGGAGTGTGATGTCAACTGTGTCGTCTATTCAAACAGCGGGGGAACGAAAGAGATGACAAACTCACACTCATTGCGTCGGACGCACTGTTTGTCACTGATAGAAGATCAAAATAGTGAAATATTTCACACCTGAGGCGCCGCGTTCCGACAGGAAGAGGAAATGTTCACACGGTCATCGACTCTTAATCGATTTTGCAGGGCTGTGCGACGCAGTGGCTTCAAATAGTACACTGTAAATAGTGGAAATGTGCGGGAGGAATGTTTTCGTTTCCCAATCAATCATTTCGTTATTTTTGACGTAGGACTACGTATTTAATTTCTATACTGGGGGGTCACATTTAAAAATCAAAATTCAGACATGTAACGAAAAATCCCAAACACGGATGCAACGATAGAGCGCCAATACGAAGATGACGATGACGACGAAAATACCCACATCGACCGGAGGAAAGGCTTCCCGCAATAGGCAGCATGACTACCCTAATAAAAAATTACCATAAACGAACGATAACCCAAATGTGTGAACTATTCCACAAATGGTTTGGATGATACCCAGAACACGTCGTTAAGCAAATTAACCATAACATTTTTATTAGGGTAGGCCGCCGTCATCCGGTCGGCATCGACTTGCACGACAACCGGCCCTTTTCAGGGCCACCAATTCAAAACGGAAAGAGTTAAGAACTAAATGTCAACATATTTGTTTCGTCCACTAGTGGTCCTACGTCAAGCTTTTGTTCGTGCCCCTAGGCACAGACCCTTATACTTTTTTTTCGAATACATTGATCTTCAAAGGGACTGTTTATTAACTACATAGTCAATTTTTTTGGGATTCTTTCAAAAATTAAAAATTTTAAAATTGTAAGGGGCGTGGATGATTGACCCCCTCCGTTTTATGATTAGCCCCAAAGACAGTCACATTAAAATTCGATAGCGATCGTCGTCATTTCGTGAAGAAATGTAATGATACTAAAAGTCTAATCGTGAATCATTTATAAAGATCTTTATCAAAAAATTGCTACCAATGTAACCGATGTAAAAGTATCGATTTCTGTTGCCAGATCAAAATATTATCGGTTGAGTTGAAAACCAGAAAACCTCACACGCGTCAATTAATTTTATTTTTGTTCTGTACGTTAAACATGGTGTCGGACATAGTGCGCTGTTTTCACACAATGATGCGATATAATGCGCACTAAACGGATAGAAATCTCCTTAAAAACTTTTGGCAAATTTCTATTGCTGATTATTCATAAAATGTATAATTCAACTAATAAGCAGACGGCTTTCAAAAAGTTAATGAAGATCATGTGTCAACTAATATGTATAAGCGGTCACACATACCTTTTATGCATTCTTATACACAGCAAAAAAAAATGTAATATCGATCAACGTAATTCAAGCTGATGTATGAAATAATGATGTAATAGCAAAACGCAGATACAATATTACATCAATGGATGTAATTTTGTTCGCAAAATCGATGTACATCGTACAATGTGATATTACACAACCGATGGATTGACCTGGTTGCAGCAGTTTCGATGTAATATTCAACAACTTTTTTTGCTGTGTAGGACCTATGTGGTTTGTCTTATTGTTTATTGTTTATTGTTTATTGTTTATTGTTTATTGTTTATTGTTTATTGTTTATTGAAAAATTCAACTGACAAATACTGTCTAAATGAATAAAACTTAAACTAAATAGTTACGGTCAACGGTACGGAAAAGGCCAAGTAGCCGATGACGAAACACGTCAGCTGATACATTGAAGTCGAACATATAAAAAAAGTAGTTGAATTGCCGGCTGATTGCTCGAATTGGCTCGTGTTGTGTATAATTCTGGCTCCGTGGTTCCAAAAACAGAAAGTCGCGTTGACGAAGAGACCTCTCAGGGGCATACATATTTAGTTGTGACAGCAGTGTTGGGCAGTCAATGTCACCTGTAAGCAGCTTTCCAGCGTACATAGCTTGAGCGACCGTCCATCTCACCTCTAATGGCTCGATTCCCAGGAGACGGCAACGCTCCTCGTACGGTGGCAAGTTCGTTGGGTCACGCCAGTTGAGGAAACGAAGAGCATATCTCACAAACTTGCGTTGAACGGATTCAATTCTAGTGATCCAGCTAGCATGGAAAGGGCACCAAACAACTGAACTTGACTCCAATAAGGATCGCACAAGCGAGCAGTAAAGTGACCTGAGACATAGCGGGTCACGAAACTCGTCGGCAATTTTGAAAATATAGCCCAATTGTCGATTAGCTCTGGAGATGATGTCATTGTAGTGGATTCTGAAAGTGAGTCTGCAGTCCAAGGTAACGCCGAGATCCTTTATGTGCTCTACACGAGCAAGACAGCGTCCGTAGAGAACATAGTCAAACATGATTGGTTCAATTTTTCGGTGATATGAAATAATGTTACATTTTTCTATGCTTAGACTCATCAAATTTCTTGAGCACCCGTCAGCAAAAATACCTAACTGATGCTGTGAGCAGCTACTTAGTTTTTGTCTTGCGTGAGTGTAAATTGAGTGAATCGATTAAATATTTTGTTGAGTTATTTCCGGCGCTGGTAAATATTTGTGCATTCATACGTTGTTTGTAATGTTGTAGCACCCCGGAGGCTTTGAACGGAAGTGCCCTTGCTACTGAAAACGAAGAACCCGAAGGCATCGATTTTCCAACCGCGATGAAGCCACTTGATAACGTGATCCAATTCGTACAGAACAATCCCGCTCAGACTTTGAAACTGAAAACCCTGCGAACTGAATTGCTGGAAGCAGAGTGGAAGAGACGCAATCTGTAACTGTTTTGTTTTAATTTGCTTGTTTTATGAATTAAATTGATTTTTTACAAAAAATATTTTGTTTTTCGTTATTTTTTATCAATCATTGTAAGACCCCCCAAAAAATATGACATCAAAACGTCAGCATGATTTTGACATCAGATTTTGACATCAGATTTTGACGGATGACTGCTTTTTAATTGGGTCGCGCCCCAATTAGCGAACCCCCAATTAAAAAGCGCCCCAACCAGAAAACCCCCAATTAGCGAACTTCCACTGTATTCTGGAGATCCCAGCAGTCCGAGAGACTTTTAATAATTTTGTAGATTTTCGTATCGTCTGCATAGAAAACGCGGCATCCTAATGGTATCAGCAAGGCGACATCGTTTAAAAAGATCGAAAATAGTAGCGGTCCTAGGTTACTGCCTTGCGGGACTCCCGAGTTGTTTGAGAAAACATCCGATTCCGACGCGCCAATCTTGACATGTACATAGCGATTCACCAAGTAAGATCTGAACCAATCCACAGTAGTTGACGAGATGCCAAGTATCTCCAGCTTGGCCAGCAGGATATTATGGTCCACCGTGTCAAATGCAGCAGACAGTTAGAAGTGAACTCCACCAGGTTCGTGGACACGGAGCGCTTCGGGTAGAAACCGTGTTGCATGTATGTATAAGGCTGATGTTGTATGGAATGTATAAGGCTGATGTTTTGGCAAAAATTTATAAGTGAAAGTAACGTTGATCGATTTTCTTCGTCGACTTCTTTCGTTAAAAGCTTTAGCACACACTCATTTTTTATTGCTGGAAACCAGCAAATTTTTGCTGGATTTTGCCGAGCTGGAAAGCCAGCAATCCTTCCAGCAAAATAAATTTTGCTGGTTTTCCAGCAAATCTTTTTTGACAGAAGTTTGTTGGAAAACCAGCAATTTTTTTCTGAAAATTATGGCGAAAATATTGCTGATCGTTCAGTAATTATAAACGCACGTTTTTCTCACTTTATCAAACAAAATAATGCAAAAAGAATGAGAACTCATTTAAAAACTATTTTATTCAGTTCATATCTACCCTTAAGCCGAGGGGGGCGACACATCTAAATCTCAATTCTAGATGCTCAAAAAATCTCACACTAGCGAATCAATCTTCGAAAAATCATCTTTCATTTCTCGCATCTACTTGCATCGCGCTTCATCTTTTTGCAGGAAATCTTCAAAATCGACATAAATCTTCCTTCTATCTACTCAGCGTGAGTGCAGCTAGCCACAGCAAAACACAATCTTTTTTGCATCGTAGATAGAGTCGTCCCCCTCGCCTTAAGCACTTAACGTTCAAATATATCCAAGATCATCTCCACTAGCACCGGATGATAATTTTTTCGAAAGAATCTTTTCCACCGGAATAACCTAAAATTAAACACAACCTGCTAAGAGATAATATCTCCTTCAATGTATTCCCGTCTTACCGTTATTGTTACGAATAATAGTGAACTTCTTCAATCAGAAACCAGGAATTCTTAATACAATACGTTTTTGGAGAATTTTGTTTGTAAGCAGTCGTCAAACTAATGAGAAAAATCACAAGTCTTTATGACAGTTTATGATTTGCTGGTTTCCAGCAAAAAAACTGATTTACTGGGTTTTCAGTAATTAAAAAGTTTTTGCTGTTGTTTCAGCAAAAATCGTATTGCTGGAGCATTTTAAGCAAACCATTTTGCTGGAAGATGAAAACAAAATCTGGTATAATCGTTTCTTGTTGTTTTTGTCGTAATAGATGCTAGCGATGCTAGATAAAAGCTTCTTTTACCGATATGTGTGCTGAAAATACCTGAGCATGTCTTTACGTGGCCGTGAAGAAACAAAGACTAAGTCGACGAAGATAATTTGTCAATGTTACTTAAGACCTAATGCAATGTTCAGCTTGATAGGCTGTGTTCCATTTGAAGAATTTTCACTTAAATTTGACACTTTGAAAATAAATTGAAGAGTGATTTTTCAAATAACCGTACCCGCTTTTGTCAACAAATATTCATACGTCATTTTGACAAAACTCTTAGCTCGCCCACGCAATCTTACAATACTACCAAACTTGCAACCAAACACCAAACTTGAATTTCTCAATAAGCTGAATATTTTCCGAAAAAAAATGATTTTCATTGTCATTTTAACCATGATATTTACTATCAAAACATTGGACATTTTTGTCCGCTACCATAAAATCACAACGAAATTCATGGTTCACAATAATGAAAATCATGGTATTTGAGAAATTTACCGTAAAAAGGGGGGTTGTTAAGCAACATAACAATAAAAAAAATATTTTTCTCGAACAAATTTGATCTCATCACACTAATTTCCATAGTTTGAGCATTTGATCGAAATTTATTATTTCTCCCGTACAATAATTTAACAATAAATTTTAATTTACTCAAAATACAACAGTTAAAATCATTGTAATTTCGTTGTTTTATTATAATTATTTTTTTTCGGGTTCTTTATTTTTGAATTTAATGAAGTTTCTGTTAAAACTCGTTCAGTGTGTCACAACCACCCCTGCATCGTCGACAGCAGCGATGCAGAAATCGACGAACAAACTGTCAATCGCCTGTCAAAATTAGATTTCGTTCGAGTGTGAACCCGTCCTTATCTTTCTCTACTTCCGTGGTTCTTGCATCAAACTGTCACAGAAATGGTAAGTCCGGTGAAAATTTTGTTTTTTCAGTGAAATAACCGGGAAAATATTCCTAAAAGTAATTGAAAAGGATTCTAGCGAAATTAGAAATTAACGAACATTCGATTGTTCGGTGCATTGAGTTAAAATTTTACGAAAAATGTGAAAATAATGTGTTGGTATCCAACGAGTGAAGAAAATTGCCGTCACCGGAGTTGGCACTGTACATGTGTTTAAACATGGCGTTCCGGTTGTAAATAAATGTGAAACATTGCTAGAAATCGCAACAAGATGTTTAAACGATGCTAATTTTGAATTCTTTCTGTAAATTTCCAGACTAAGAAGAGGCGTAATGGAGGACGCTGCAAGCACAACCGCGGCCACGTCAAGGCCGTGCGTTGCACCAACTGCGCCCGCTGCGTCCCAAAGGATAAGGCCATCAAGAAGTTTGTGATCCGAAACATCGTCGAGGCTGCTGCCGTTCGTGATATTTCGGATGCTTCCTGTTACAACTGTGAGTTTTTGAGAAAGCAATGGTCATCAGGAACGAAACTATTCTTAAATGTAGTTGGGGAACTTGACAACAACAGTATTTGTTGAGGTTATGGGGTACAGGCACTAAATTAAATTTGGGAATAGTTCCGTCCTACCAAATATAAAGTTTGAAGTAATTCCTTCGATTTTCTATGATGATAAAAACACTGCTGATTATATGGCATGATATATAGTTTAATATTTGCTATCTGACGTCTCTTAAAATCAGCTCCGGTAAATTCAAAGGTCAACAGCGATATTCATACAGGTTGTTTTCCCGTTTTCTTTTAGCCTATGTTCTGCCCAAACTTTACGCAAAATTGCACTATTGCGTATCGTGCGCTATCCACTCCAAGGTGGTGCGTAACCGATCGAAGGAAGCCCGACGAATCCGTACACCACCCCAGCGGGCGTTCCCTAAGGACATGAACCGTAACCAGAACGCCCAGCGCAAGTAAGAAGCTGCTAAGTCGTCAAGTCGCTGTTGCAAAAACCGATACCAACCAAACGCCGAACGTGGCGGACATCGCTTTCTCCCGTGGACGAAATCATCATTCTATCATTCCGATTAGCCGGGCAATGATCGGAGCGAGTGGGTTCGCCAGTGTTCGGTGTCAAAAACAAGTTGTATTTGGATTAAACATGGTCGCTTAAGGAGAAGATGAGGTGAAAACATTGAAAATAAGATTTACAAAACATCTAATAGGTGAGAACGAGTAGTGTTTATCGATGACAATCCGTCAAGTTGGTCTCATGAGTTGTGTGTCGAGGGAATGGATTTAAATAGCCGGTTTCTAAACAGCATTATTGTTCAACTCGTTGAAGTCTCCCCAACTTCGTTCGAATCAGTAAGTATTTTACGATCGCTATCAGTATGGAAACATGTCAAAGGTAAGGTAGCTGTTCCAGTAATAGTGGTGTACCTATAATTACCGTATGGGGGTTGTGCCGGAATAATGAGGGAAAACTGGATAAGGTTAAGCTTTAAATTTGTCGAATCTCTTAACGGAATCCCTGTATGAAGAGCTTTGAGTGTGTTGATTTATTTCCATTTAATTCCGTTATAATTGCTTATCTTTTGACAGATACGTGTATTTCGCCTACTACTTGCAGACTTCATCAGTGCCAAGTACCAGTGGTGTTGCGTACTTGGCACTGATGAAGCCTGCAAGTACTAGACGAAATACGGTATCTGTCAAAAGATAAGCAATTATAATGGAATTAAAAGGAAATAAACCAACACACTCAAAGCTCTGGATAAGGTTATTTTTCATTGGTAGCTCTCCTAAAATAAAGCAGATTTGCATTTTTTCAAACTTAAAATTAGCCCAAACATTACGGAAAACAATTGATTTTCCTCAAGATGTTGACTCCTTTGCACCTATAAATTGCGGTAGTGTTCCTATAATAATGGAACCAATAAACTGATCAACTCATCTGTTTGCTGTAGGTTTGTAAGCATACCTGACCAAACATAGATGGGTTCGATGCGGTGAGTGTTTGTAGTCCGAGGGTTTAATCCCTGGCTCGTGCACTTGTAATACGGCTTCCCATTCTACTAACAAAATTTCTTCCCTTCCGTGACACTTATGAGGGGTCGTAGAGTTATCTGCTAAGTAAGTGTCTAGCTAACAATAATTCCTGTCCCCACCAGTTGCGAGAACGTGATTAGGTCAGTTCTCGATCATTGGAGGTTCCATCTAAGAGGTAGCGATTAATCCCAAATTGGTGTCTATGCGGTAGGATGCCTTTAACATCACTCATACATTCACCCACATTCTCGTTTACGTTCGTACCATATTTTCCATACAAAATACCTGTGTTTGTATGAAAAATACGAAAACAACAATATGGGTTAATAACCTAGGATTTGTACTACCTGTACTACCCAAATTTGCCATACTTCTTCCTTTCAATGGCTGTTTAATACATAGTAGGTTATCTATGTTTGGCATGTTGTTCATTTTCTCATGTAATTCAGGCCCAAAATTCATATAACAGAAAAAATATCTATAAACTTAGTTTTTTTTAACCAGCATTTTTTGACTAGATTTGAATAAAATTGCCGAGATTCGGCAAACAAAGTAAAGTGTGTAGAATGGTGCTAGAAAAACTTATGACGCTCGAGTCGCACTTATGGGCAGGCCTGGCAATTATTATGCTCTTTTTATTTATTTTTTTATTCGTCGTTCTTGTTTTCCATGCTGAGCACCAATGCTACCGACGCCAGGGAGGCAGGTTCCACACCTGGATGGACCCTACCTATCGACCCATCAACTCATGAACCGGGGACTAACGGCTTTACTTCCCTTCCGAAGGAAGGCGTGATCAGAGATGTTATGCCTCAGAACATCCCAGCGGCGCCGACTGGGATTGAACCCAGGCCTGCTTACCATTACATGCTCTGTATCACATCTTTTTCCTATACATTAATCTTTATTTTAGCACTACTTGCAAATTACCTTTAATTATTAGAAAAAGTATCAAAATTCGTACATGAATGTGAATCGATCCAATTCAATAAAAAAAACATGTTGCAAGCTTGAATAAAGTATTTTTTAGAAGATCTTTGGCTGCGAGTCCATAACATCTATACTCGTTTAAATATCAGCGTTAGATTAATTGATGTTCCAATCGTTCAAAGGAAATATAGGGTTAACTACCCCATTTCCGGCCTATTAAACACAACCCGCACTTATTCCATAGAGGTAACTCTAAGACTAGTAGGTCCTGAAGAAACGTGCTCAACTTTTTGGCTCAGCTCTGGTACTCTCTTCGGTCCCAAGCTAATCGATTCACCCCTCGAAACATAGGAAAATCCACTAACCCCTCATTTAATCTGTCAAACTTTCATAGCGAATCAAAACAAACATTGTGTAGTAGTAGAATTTTGAATCGATTTGCTTGCGACCAATAGGCTAGTCAAGTAGTGAGTCAATTTAAAATCGTTAGTTTGATTGTTGATACTACATTCCCTTTCACAGATGTCATAGTAGAGTACTTAACTTTAGATTGGCCCCGCCTTTGGAAAATGAGCACCAAGCATGTTAGGCAGTCCGAATGACCGAAGTAACAAACATGTACCCATCATTTCAAACTGTACATTGGACAATTTTTGACCTATGATTATCTTAAATAAATGAAAGTAAATTTGGATGGATGTTTTTGTATCACATACAATGATAGAAGAGCAATAGTTTGTATAGCTTAACTCGATTTGTTTACATTTGTTACATTGGTCTATTTGAAAAGTGACGCGAGAAATCATAGATTTTTTTTATGATTTCTACTCGATAAACCCAAAATGGGCGATTAAGCCGAAGTAGTTCTGTACCCTATCTGTTTTTTTTTTATTAAAGACTTTTCTGGATTTTTATGCTAACTTATATCATGTTTAAGGATTCATTTCCTCCAAGATTTTCTTCTATATCAGCGCTTTGGGTTAAATATTCTTACTAGAGTTTACCTCCTATCACAACTTCGGGGTCTTTGAAATTTGACATGACATTGTGATAACGTGCAAGATGCTCAAGACGTTGGAACTTGGGGGTACTCCAGCGCAACGCTACAAAACACTGTTAACCGGGACTAAACTGGGCGGGGTAGCTTGGCCAATGTCAAAGCAAATTGAAGAGAAAAATGCCGAAACATCTTTTATACACCGATAATGAAAACGCTCCACCAACCCACTGGCATCAAGCGGTTGAATAAGCGGTTCCCATGATAGCCCCATAACTGGCGTTGACAAGAGCTCTGTAACTCTTTACTCCTATGGAGAAATCCCATATGTAACTGTCAGTCTATGTGTGAAACATGGCGGACTTTTTCTTATTCTCTCACTTCAACGCAAAACCCCATAAGGAACTGTCAAAATGTGTGTGAAGAAACGTCACTTCGGAACTGGTGTCAAGGCGAATAGCGGATAAGTGAAAGAAAATTACAACCATCTAAGAAACCAACAAAAAAAAAGGCAATGAACTGACACCAAGGATTAGTTTTTCGTTTTTTGCATGAAAAATAAAATTGATAATAGTACGTTCAGACTACAAAGTTATAACATGTTATAGCGCTATCTTGATGGTGGTTTCTGTGATGCAATTATGTGACAACCGTTATAACATGTTATAACTCTCCAGTATGTACAGCGTTTAAGATAACGACTAAATTTAATTTAAAACATCAAGAGAGTAATAAAATCAGAAAAAAAACAGATCTTTCATTGCTTCTTTTACGCAACTTTCTTCGACTTCATCTCCTTTGTTGCCATTGCCTTTTCAAGTTGAAATGCTTTCTTCTGCTTTCTTTAGTCGCTCAAGCTTTTTCTTTCGTTGTTCCTCAATCCTTCGTTTCTTTGCGTTCTCTTTTTCAAAATCCCTGGATTAAAGAGCCTGAATTTATAAAGAGACGACATCTTATCCATTTGACAGGTCTTCTGCTCGATTGGAATGACTTTTCGTATGACTTTGACAGATAGTCGATTGTTCCAATTTTGACATATCGTCTCTTTATAAATTCAGGCTCTTTACCTGGATGCGTCCCGGTAAGATTTTCCTGCACGCATCATTGACATAGCCTTCTCCAAATCTTCCGGCGCTTCCATGATCTGCTGAAAAACATTGGATAAAGGAGAATCGTTATTGTTAATGCAAATGTGTGCGGATTTAGAATCAGCTGTTAAATATGGATCGAATCCGTACAGTAATAATTTTGATAAATACCATTTGAATGATCCATTGCTTGGAATTAATTATATGATTTGAGTAGTAGCTATACTGAAGATCCGAGAGATGTCGCCCCTTTAGTGGTAGGAAAATCTTTTTTGCAGTAGGGTAGAGAACTACTTCGGCCTAATCGCCCATTTTGGGCCTATCGAGCAGAAAACTTCAAATAAATCCATGATATCAGAGTTAACAAGTCAAATATGCGTTTGTTACGATACTTTAGTTAATAAGCTACCGAACGAAGTCAATGAGAACGCGTGGTATGAAGGTTTGCACCCATTATTCCCAAAACAAAAGAAGCGCTCCGACCGAATCAATTTTTATCTTCCTCTGATAGGCCGATGTGAATTCATTGGCGTTTCAATGCGTTAGGCCGAGTTTAGAATCCGTAGGCCGAGTTTGGCGTCAAGAAGCAGTGTTGACAATATCTCAACAATTGGTTTCTCTTTTTCAAATCTTGCGGTACGTGCGGAAAGGTAAATAAATTTGAAAGCCATCAGTAATAATAACATTCCGTTTGGTGCTAAACTGCGCTAGATTAAAAAAGACTAAGTGCGGGTTGTGCTTAATAGGCCGGAAATGAGGGAGTTAACCCTATAGAGAATATCAGAAAATCCATGATTTGTGACTAAACATGCTTTCATAGAAGGAAACAAATAAACGAGTGTTTGCCTTATCACCATAGTAATGTACTCGTGCAATTTTTGTGCATCTAAAACTGCCCATAAAGACGATAATGAATAAAAACTGAAAATTTTCATGCATTTCCAAATGGTTTCCTACCATTCCTAAAGAGCCTGAATTTATAAAGAGACGACATCTTATCCATTTGACAGGTCTTCTGCTCGATTGGAATGACTTTTCGTATGACTTTGACAGATAGTCGATTGTTCCAATTTTGACATATCGTCTCTTTATAAATTCAGGCTCTTTAACCATTCCCATACATTCGAAAGTGACTAGCCCTCTGGATGTGGATGAT